ATGTGACAGTTTTTGTCCTTCAAAAGTACTTCTTCAGACTAAATGTTTTTACTAATGTAATCATATGTAGGGGAGGGAACAAAATATAACAAACATCAGTTATAGTTATATATTGTGAGAAATGCTGAAGAGACAAGAATACTAAACTTTAAATTTGTAGCATTTATGTGCCTAGAGGTACAGCCAAGCCAACTTCATTTGGTATTTTTTTGTTTTTACTGTGTTTAATTTTTTTCATAATCATCTCTAAATATCCCATATTGTAATAGTAGTTTTGTCATTCAACTAACCACCATTAGTCCAATATAGTTTCCACCCCTGCATTTAGTTTTATCCAACAAATTTTACTAAATAATTGCTAAACCTTGATATTTGTTATGCCAACCAAAGAAGGAAACGAGAGGTCCAACTTCATGCAAATGTCTCACACGTGTATTACAATATCAATCATTCACAGCAGCAACACCAGAAGTGAGTAAGAAACAAAACAGCAATTGCATCAGGTTCCAGCCACTTTAGCATACAAGTATTAACCATAAACAAGCTGGAATATGTCAAAAGTTTTCAAACAGTTTCCTTTTCCATAGTCTCAATGACACTTTATGTTCCAGCATTTCTATGTAAACATATTTATACTAATTTTTTTTTTATCTTTTTTTTTTTTAAATTTTTTATTTCCCCTTTCTTAAACCATCCCACGTTCTTCATTTGGGTTGCGACCATTGGCTTAGGAACCACTGGTATAGACCAACCAATAGTGTCACTACCATCTTTCTTTGCCAAGTGTCAGCAACTTTATACTTGTCATATTAGTCAACTGGTATTTTTTTAATTTTTAAAAGTTAACACATATATATATATATATATATATATATATATATATATATATATATATATATACTGTATACAAATGAGAACTTGAGATTCAGATAAATATCTCTTTACAATACTTACATAAAATAAACAAAAAAGAACATAAAACTTGTACATGAGTGAACAGTTGGAATTTATATATTTTTAAAAAAAAAAAAATTTTAAATAAAATTTCAGTATTTGACAGAGATAGATTTTTTTTTTTTTTTTTAGGAAAAATAAACTTTTGTCTCAGGAGAACTTTAAAAAAAAAAACAGATTTATTTCAGCATAAAGAATAACCACATTTTGTTTTTGTTTATTAAAGTATTTTTTTTTTTTAAATTATCCCCAAATATGCCTGCTTATCTTACTAACCTATTTTCTTATGTATAATAAGACTTGATTACAATACAACCCCATGTTTCTGAAGCTAAAAATAGGGAATAAATTGCATCCTTGAGTATAATATGAGCGCATAATGTAAAGACATTCAATTACACCGATTCACAAAGAACAAATATTGCCAACATATCAAAAACATTTTGCAAACAATTGATAGATATCAACAAACTGTATTTTATTATCTATTGTGCTGAGTGTACTTGAAATCTTGCTGTTTCAAATAGGGTTTTTCAAGCGGAGTAAAAAAATTCTGAAAACATGTACTTGTATATAATACTCTGTGAGCAGCATTCTTTGTGAATCAAATGTAGCATGGAATTTGCTGCTACTCTTTGTGAGCAGTATAATTTATAAGCCTTTGTATATATGTCAGAAGAATTACTGTATTACCCATATGCTAAGACACATTTTTCCCCCCCGGAAAAATGCTCTCAAAAATCACCGTGTCTGAAATGTCAAGTTGTAGAGAGGAGTTTGCCAACCCTCACAAACCTCGGACAATTTTCATTCATATGAAATAAATACCATATATATATATATATATATATATATATATAAGCAAATATATGGATATAGATCCGACAGTATGAAGAAAAATATATACGGAAAAAACAAAAATCCTTATATACAATTATGCTGTTTTAATGTTAATATGTCAACGTATTCCTAAAATTTTGAGTATTTTGAATGAAAAATGAAAAGAATTCTATTTTGAACTAAAATTTATATGTACGCTTGTCAAGCATTAATCTCGCTAGAAAAGGGGAAATATTAAAGAAACCAGGTCTAGTATTCACCGTGCATGAGATGGATATTATGCCTGCTTCATAAATCCGCCTAAGTTTTTTTTATTATGAAAATATTTTAAAATCTTCACGGAATCAAATAGTGATGACAACGTGACCATGTTTTAAACGGAGTGCTGATATTATAAAACTTTCAGTTATTTGTTTGGATAAGTCTTGTTCTTATGTACATCGTCTTTGTCATGTTGTATTGATGATGTTATATTTATGAATATGTCCTGAAGATGGTTTATTAGACCGAAACGTCAGACATTGACATATTAACATTAAAACAGCATAATTGTATATAAGGATTTTTGTTTTGTTTTTTTCCGTATATATTTTTCTTCATATATATATATATATATATATATATATATATATTTATTTTTTTTTTTTTTTTTTTTTTTTAGTATTGATAAGTAGTAGGTAGGTTTCTACTAGTACTGTAATCCTTTCATGCATCTAAGCATACCGTACCAGGTAATGTTAATTACTATAATAATACAAATGGATAGTTGATAATATATTCATACAGTAATGTAAACATACAATGCAACCTTCACCTGGGCCTTTCACTAGCTGGCCAATGACCACCTCACAATTCATTCCAATTTGTGTGTTGTTGGTGTTCATGAAAAGCTAGGAAAGGGTTAGGCATATGCTAACAAGATAAACATGATGAAAGAAAAGCCACACCAAGAAATAAGAACGCCAACCTGGTTTTCTATATGTGTATATATTTTATTCAGGGCTTAATCTGCTCATCCAGGTGGATAGGTAGGTGATATTAGGGACAACCTCTGTTATGTCAGCTCTTCCCCCAATCAATTCCTCACCTCTTGATGTGGTGGCTAACAAATATGAAAAGGGAGATCTTGGAACCGTGATCTGGACATATCCATCTCCCGCCAAGGGACCAGCACCCTCCCTGATCCCAAGCATAATTTGTCGTGACAAAGAAAAATGACACTATAAAGTCAGGGACTTAGACTTGCTAGTTGAGTAAGCTATTAAATTTTCAAATGTGCTTTTTCCACAGAGATTTTCTAGCAAATTATAGGGTGTGTCTTACCACTTGTAGCATCTCCCAAATTCAAGGCCTTATCATTCCTGTTGAAGGAACCACTCCCCAATTGACCAGGTCTTCAAGGGTGTAGCCATACTCACTATGGCTAGCCAATTGCAGGTTGGTGAGGCTATTTAACCCATAGTCAGGGGGTTTGAATTCAGAGTTGTAGTGTCTTAGCATATTGGAAATACATTACTTAGACATAAACTAGAAGTTAGGGTACGCATGTCCCTACCCCCAGCTTAAATCTCTCAACATTTGTAAAGGGTCCCATGCAAAAACTGAGAAGATATTGCCTTGAACATTCTGCTACAAAAATGAAAACTTCAGACTCCAATTGTATTTAAAATAAAGTATGATGTACTTAAACTCCAGGAGGACATCCTTACATGGCTAAACATCTCTTTCGGGGGAGCACTAGGGTTTATCCTTGACCCCTGAAGGTTCCCCCCAAAAAGGGAAATACCTAGGAGTCTTAACAATTGTTTTTCTAGTCCCATGTATGCATAGTACTCCTACTTTAAACTTAACCTTGTGCCACATTCATTTTAAGGAAACAAGAAGGGGAACACAATGTGGGGATTGATTTATCCAGTTGCTGACAAAGAGACCCCACCCTATTCTATGTTCACAGTAGGTGTCTGCAGCAGGAATTAGTTAGCCACTCTAAAGGACAGGTATACTCAGAAATGAGTAACCAGCCATTTTTATTCATGATTTATTATGATATTTCATAAAGAAGTTTTTTCTTTAACTTGTGTCCTTTGCTGAAACTTTTGTGCTGTGTCTCCTATTATAATACCTATGAATTTGTCATGGGAGAGGGAATAATCTAGGTAAGCAAAAAAAGAAATGGAAAACTTCATTTTATGAATTCTAATAAACCCCCATTTTTTTTTAAATTATTAAATGCAATCAGCACCAGTTAATATTTCTTCCTTCTAAAAACTGTGTTGTAGCTTTGTTTACAAAATCCATGAAGCTCAAAGCATTAAATTATTATCTATATTTAAATTTTTTCCGTACCCCCCTCCTATTCTCTTTCTTATTTTATAAGTTGTATATGTAGGCAGTGTATCCATTATTAGCATAGAAAATGGAATTTGCAGGCCAAGTTCAAATACCAGCCAAGGCATTCACTGATGCTCTTGGGATAGACATGAAACCATTTCGTCATGTAGCAATGTGTAAAATAACAGTGCAGACTAGGTACTCTAGCCTTACTAGTGCAAGTAGTTGAGTATGATCACCGAAGTTAAGCAATGATGAGCCTGGTCAGTACCTAGATGAGCGAATGCTTGAGAATAGCTGTACTATAAACTTTGATGTGCAGGTGTTGTAATGAATAATGGCTCAAAATTGTTAATCGGAGAACAGAGTTCCAATTCTAGTTGGGTTCATTATATTCATATTATTTCTTCATGTCAGGGGTTTGAATTCAAAGTTGTAGTGTCTTAGCATATTGGAAATACATTACTTAGAGTCTATGAATTTTTTTTTTTTATTTAATGAAAGAAAGAAAAAATTTGTACAAAATGTTCAAAATAGAATTATATGTTACACCATGATTTTACCTGAAAAATATATTTACTATTCCGTTTCCATCATCTGCCATCTTTCAGGTAACTTTAACCCTTTAGCATTCAACACCCCCTAACCCAACCCCGTAAATATCAGCTCTCAAAGTCGGACAGTTTGTGGTCAAAGTCTTACTTTTTGCACAATTTCCTATGTTATTTGTGATAATGTCATATTACAGCAGAGTACACATGAAGCAGGTTACAGCAGGTTGAACATTAAGAGCCTATATTTACGGGCAAGGTTTAGGTAGGTTGAATGCTAAAATGTTCAAATGCAGAAAATAGGTACAAAAATTTTCAACTCACCCATTTAATGGGTCCAAAGCTATCGCTCTGGGTTGATCCAAATGTTCCCAAAACAATATCTTACGGCAAGAGCCATTTAAGTTACTGACTTCAATCCGATTGGTTTCGGAATCGGTCCAGTAGAGCTTCTCCCCTAACCAATCCAATGCGAGGCCATCTGGTGACAGTAAACCAAAAGTAATCACATTAGTGCTGGTTTGAGAACCATTCACATACGTCCTTTTAATCATCTCCAGGCTGACATCAGTCCAAAAGACTGAATTTTCTGCATAGTAGAAGTCAACTGCAGCAGCATCTTCAAGGCCACTGATGATCACCGATGAATTGCGAGAGTTAGCTGCATCAACAAGGCGTACATCCTTCCGGTTTGCAAACAGCAACAACGGCGAACCTGAAGAAAAAAAAAAAAAAAAAAAAGAAGTTATGATCTCATAAAAAGAAATGCAATTTATCAGCACTATTATATATCGGATTTGCTAATATTTAATTCTTTGGCGATTAGAAGTACTTCCGAAATTAAAAGATTAATAGCAGGGTCTCCAAACAGATTCAAATCTTTTAGATGCAATCTACAACCATATAGATTTTTCATAGATATCTTCTGATTAGGTATATTGATCGATTTTTTTTTTTTACAGGTTATTTAAAGCCAGAAAATATTTTTTAGATTGTAAGAATATTTTTTTGTGGGGGTGGGGAATGATTTAGTAATAAGTTTCACTAATTAACCCATAGTTGGGGGGAAGAAGAGGTGGATCCATACCTTTCCCAAAGGTATTAGCACATAAGTGAATATAACGAACCCAACTAGAATTGGAACTCTGCTCACCAATTAACAATTTTGAACCATTATCCATTACACCACCTGCACATCAAAGCTTATAGTACAGCTATTCTCAAGCAGTCATTCATCTAGGTACTGACCAGGCTCATCGTTGCTTAACTTTGGTGATCATACCCATCTGCTTGCACTAGTATGGCTAGAGTAACTAGTCTGCACTGCTATTTTACACATTGCTACATGAAGAAATGGTTTCATGTCTATCCCAAGAGCATCAGTGAATGCCTTGGCGGGTATTTGAACTTGGCCTGCAAATTCCATTTTCCATGCTAATAATGGATACACTGCCCACATATACACTTATAAAATAAGAAAGAGAATGCGGGGGGGGATGACGGGAAAAAAATTTAAATATAGATAATAATTTAATGCTTTGAGCTTCATGGATTTTGTAAACAAAGCTACAACACAGTTTTTGGAAGGAAGAAATATTTACACTAGCTGAACCCACAGGGGTTGAAAACTAAGATTATCCCTTATGTCTAGGCTTCTCTCACATTTTGCTCATGTCTGTGTCCCCTATTCCTTTATTACCCAGCAATATCCTTTTTCTTTTAAGTGTTAGACAAAACAGATTGGTTACAGATGGGGTGGGGGGGTAGAGAAGAAAACATCTTTTACATTGTCTTTATTTTGCTCCATTTTAATGTACTGCAATTATTATGCACTTCTATTCGAACACATCGTTCAGTTTTTCACTCCTTATCAATTTATATCTAGTCAATAAGCCTTACTTTTATCTCTCACTATTCCTCTTCACCAATGCACACTTACCTCCTACCCTTCCTCCTATTCACACTGTTTCTCCCTTACTCTCCCTTGCTTTTCCCAATCCCTTCATATGTAAGTTTCTCGATGAGAAAGCCAAGAAAGGCTGGTGGTCAGACTAATACTACATTGATCCTAGTAAGAAAAAAATTAACAGTATGCCTACAAATAAACAGTAAGAACAATATAGTTCCTCAGTCATAAAGCATAACAGATTTCAGTTCAGAAGTGCTAAGGATCAGACAGATACTACACTACTATCCTAAGTAGAAAAGTAACTGTCATACAAGCAAACAGACAGAATAGATGATTATGTTAGAATCATGTAATCATTGCTTAGATTCAAACTTTTGTTTTTCTGCAATATATGTGGCAATTCAGATAATAAAATGCTATCTTCTAACAGTAGAAATATCTTAAACTCCTATTAAGCATAGTGCACTAACAATCATGGATCTAAAAAGATCCCATCATAAAAAAATAGAAAAAAAAAAAAATTCTTAAGTGATGTCAACATTTCTATGTCAACAAATGCCATTCCTACTTGATAAGTCATAGAATAAAAATATTTCAAGTTACTCAAATTCCTTTCCGTTTTTTTTTGTTTTTTTTTATTATAAATTCTTTTACAGCATTAAATTGTTACTGCCGTTTGAATAAAAACTCAGTTCTGAAGAGTTATAACCTGAATTTCTATCATAGTTATTCCTCTTCACTTCCCCACCTTCTTTTGGCGCTTTAATTACTTAGAAAAAAAAAAAATGGTGAAGACCAAATTTTATTTTTAAGATTTTTTCATTGTGGATTATATATTTGCATAACTGCCATTTAAAAGGAAAATTAAACACTTTTCAATATATATATATATATATATATATATATATATATATATATATATATATATATACACCCCATCAGCCTCCAAAGTATCATTAGTAAACTCTTTGGGTCTATTATCAACAAAGAAGTAGTTTATTACATTACCAGAAAAACTCTTGAGCAACAAATAGTATGGGCTTTGCTCCTCTAGATCTGCTGCTGATGTTGTAGCTGTAACCCACACAATCTGTAAAATGCTTGATGGTAGCTTTGTTACTAGAGTAATTACCTTAGATATCTCAAAATGTGGCATAGGTGACTGTTACATAGAGATGCCATAGCTGGAAAGTCTGAGAGTGTCTATACAATTATCAAGTACTTTCTTTTAGGTAGGGCCATAAAAGTCATTGTGAGACCAACGCAAATTTATCTGAATGCTCTCTCCCCAGTCCTACTGTTTTTTTTTGTTATTTTTTCATTTTTAAATAAAGATCTGCCAAGATGATACCACAGTTTATTGAAGTACTTCCAAAAATCATGATGATCAGAGCCTTACAGCTGATCTCTCCTCTGATCTAGCACTAAGAGTTCAATGGAGAAAAAAAAAACCCCAAAAAACCTCAAAAACCAAGTTAGTATCATTTCATTATTAATCAGATCACCAGTTTTTCTCCTGGCACAATGAATGCTTGAACTCTCAACAAGGACCCATGCTTTGAACATGTATTGGGATTCAGGCTCACTCCAGACTGCAAGTGGAATTTATATATATTTTAAAATCCATTGCTAAAGATGCTGGAAAAATGGCCAGCTCATTCTGCTCCAGAAAGTATATGACTTTCTACTATGCTTTATCTTTACAAGTGTCGGATTAGACCCAAAATAAAGTATTGCTGTCATATTTAGGCCAGAGCAGCTCAACCTCCCCTTTCCAGACTTGATAATGTTCAAAATCTTTTACATGGTCTTGGAGATGACAACATTTTCTACTCTGTAGCCACTTTTCTCCACAGCTTTTCTTCCCTCACAAGAACTGCTACTTTGTGGAACAAACTCCTGCCTAGAGGTTTCCCTGGACACTACAATCTGAACTTATTCAGATCAATAGCCAATAGTATCTAACCTCTTTATCCTCAAAATTTATCTTCCATTCATATAAACTGCATTCAATAACCCTTTGAGTGGCTATCAAGTTTGGTGAACTTTAGCATAAAAACTTTCACATTTAAGGAAGTTTGTCAACATTTCAATTAAAGGTAGCCTTTACTTATATCAGAAATTGTCTGACAGTAACTCTGGCACTTTATATCATGCAAGTCAATGTTTTCATAATATTGGTATTAACCAACTAATAATGTTCTCAGTATATAATTATATAATAGGTAACACACACACACATATATATATATATATATATATATATATATATATATATATATAAAATAAAATCTCACACATTGAATTATAGTGTTGATAAAATAGTACTCAACTAAATATACATTCCCCTCACCAGTAGCATGACTGAGTTTCATGCACACAGCAATCTTCTGGTGCTCAGTAGAGTCTTTACTCAGCACCTTTGAGTACTATTTTATCAACACCAGAACTCAATGTGTTATATATATATATATATATATATATATATATATATTGTAATCTTGACAAAGTTGGAAATATGCAAAAAATATAGCACAATAAAAAGAAAAAATATTGGTAAGATAAGAACAAGGAAAAAATTGGCTTTAATATCACAAAGGGATTTGAGAGAAATTTAACAAGTAATAAGCAAAACAGTAAATTGGCTAGCAGAAAAATATTTTAATCTGGTGTTGCAAATATAAACAGTAAAATGAATATTAAGAATATTGGTTGCTTCCATGTATTTATGATATAAATACTCAATGGATAAGCAACTCTTCACAAGACATCAAAGTCAGAAAGATCTGTCATAAGCTTCACCACATTTGGAAATCCAACCTCAGCAGATCTATCAAGGTGAGATAGTTCCTAGCTACAGTAGAGCCTGTACTGTTCTATGGTTCTGGCACAGACTCACCAAAACAGAGGAATCCTCTCTCGATGGAACCTACACATGAATGCTGAGAATGGTACTTGATGTATCCTGGAGGGAGCATGTCACCAATGCAGTATGGCTCTCTTCCCAATAACATCACAGAGATCCGAGAAAGGTGACCAAAAGTTGCTGGACATTGCATATGACATCTGAATGAGGCATGAAATCAGTAAAGACAGGCTCACTCATTGACTGTACAAAGACACTGGACTATATTCTGTTGAACTCAGAATTACCTAACTTGCAAGATCAAAATTATTGGAGAAAAATGTACTTGGCTCCAACTTATGCCTTACATAACTATCTTACTATAATAATAAATAACTATCTCTTATTCACACACAACAGATATTTACTGGTTAATACAAATTTTATTGGGAAAACTAACTTGTATAATAATATCTGATATAATTCTGAAACTTTTATGTACTAAGAGACAATAGTGGCCAATTTAGAAAGTTACAGTAGTCTTTCTTTTTTTATTTTTTTCTTATAACTAGTTTTAAGTGACAAGAATATAATTTGCTTTAAACAAAAATGCAAGGATGTATTTAACTTTAGGTACAATGTCATACACATTACCAATCAATCTTTGCACTTAAATAGCTTAGGCAAATTCAAGCTAGAGTCAAAATTTAATCATGATATATTCTTTGCTTTCAAAGAAAATCTGAAATTTAATCAACTAGACCTAATACCCAAAATATATATTAAAAAAAAAACATTTTAATTTAAAATTTTCAGTGTCCCCTCTCCTTCGTGCATATATTATATATATATATATATATATATATATATATCTCACATCAAAGTAAATATCACTTTAGTCTGATGATGTTCTAAGGGATGAAACATGTAACAAAAATTTGTATATTTGGTAAAGACTTGCATGCTTAACACAATTAAGAGCATTACTAAATTAATCTTCAGTTCCTGTTCAATCAGACCTATGTTAAAGTTTGAAACACGCTAATTTCTTTTTATACTGGATATTTTGTAGAGAATTTTCTACTTAAGCATTACCATACGTCATAATATATCTTCATGTAAAAAAAAAATTTGCTTTTGTAGCTTCGTGACATGTGTGAATTCACATTACTCCCAGGGTAGTGTGTGTGAGAGGAGTGGGGGGTGACAGTTACTTATGGTTAAAGCAGTTTGGGAATAAACATTAATCTTTTTTGGCTAATTCTGACACTTCTATATTTAACAGAAGTGCTAATAAGAAATACCAGACAAATACAGTAAAAAAAAAAAAATACAGTAAAGTTGGTAAGGGTTTTTTTTTCTTCTCTCAATACAAGGCCCAAGAGCCACTCGAAGTAGAGCGGCTACTGCATGAGTTGTATTAGCATAAGGGGGTAGATAACAGGAAAGATAGACAACTAATTCTAGACTTGAAGAGATCAAGATTTAATTAGCAGATAACATTTCAAAGTTCAGGTGGAAATGTTACGAGTATAGACTTTAGAAGGAACCAGAAACCAAATCCAAAATGGGAAACAAGGGATAAGCCTCTACTCCTGTTCAAAAGACAAGGGAAGAGTTAATCAGGTAATGGGCAAACCTATCTGTTTTGTTTATCTCTTATGCTAAAGTAAAAAAAGAAAAGAATATCACAAAATTACTCCCAATTTTATGTTCAATGCAAACAACCAACTTCAATATCTTTCAAAGCTTAAATTAAAAATAAATAAGCTCATTTCTTGTAGACTAATAGCTCTTTGAAGAAGTAGGTTTCCAGATACAAATCAAAGTCGAGTACATTATAGAAAATTTTAATTTTTTCAAAATTATTTGATTAAAATATTTTTCAAACTAGCACAATAATGCAGGACATCTATTTTTTTTTTTTTTTCTTAATCTCTCTCTCCCTCCCTCCACACCGCCCCTAGAGTAAAGAGCTTATTACACTTGGGGCATCACACTGCTAAGTTATAGCAGGATGTCATAGAAACGACCAAGTTCCAATTACACTGAGATGCCTGTTTTTAATGACGTTGGCATCTGCCAATCATGCCTGGCCTGATGACATCTCAGTGCCTAGTTTCATTTGCCATGTAAACAATATGGTTCCTTTCTGAAATCTGATGATCAGACCAGTGCTTTACAAGGCCACCACTGCTTCCATCCCCTACTTCAACCTCCTTCAAGCAGCAGCAGCAACTACAGATGATCTATATATCTCTTTCTCTTTCCAGATCTCATATTTAACGTTGGTAGCAGGAACCACCACAGGGAAATGGAACTGACAGCAGGCATGTTTACTGAACCCCATTTAACCCTCCCTTTTCTTACTCTTAAGAATTTATACTCAAGCAAACATACTTTTGGAATATTGAAAATTTTACAAGAAAAGACACTCCTCTTTGTTTAAAATCAAGGTTTCTCTTCTTTTGTCCTGGGTAAAGTATGTAAATACAACCGAAAGCGAAACTTCACAATCTACAGACCAATACTCTACCACTGAACAGTATTCTTGGATGTTTTACGCACTCAAATTAATGGTTGAAACATTCTATTAATGAAAAAATTTTTCAGGGTGTAGGCAATCATGGCTCTCCACAATTTCCTGTCCATTGTAGCTCTTGATAAATTTTGTTTTTTCATTATTTCTCCTAAACCCTGTTCCATCATCTATTCACTCAAGCTCATTCTTCAATGTACTGTATCCCTTGAGAATGTGGGCCATCATATGGCTCTCCACAATTTCCTGTCCATTGTAGCTCTTAATAAATTTTGTCTTTGTTATTTTTCTTAAAAACCTGTCCTGCCAGCCATTTACTCGAGCTCATCAAGCATGTTATGTGTTGTTTTCCTGTCTCTCTTGCCTTCAATCTGTCCTATTTTATACAATAGTTAATTTTTGTATTAAAAAAACAAAAAAACAAACTCATTTTGCATGTAATTAACTAACCATCTTAAACAATTAAAAAGGAAAATAAAGTCAGATTATAAAGAGATGAACAGAGTATAGAAGAAACCTTCAATATTGCACTATTCAAATAACAAGAGTCAAAACATAAACCCTGCCTATATTGTTTTTGTTAACCTTAAACACTCTTTAGGCAACTTCCTTCACTAAAGAAAGCATTTTTCCTGCCATTGCAGTTGACTCCAATTGAGTATATTTGAATTTCAGTTGTGTTGTCACATCCTGCTACAGCAACAACAAAACACAACCTTGACTTAAAATCGAGATCAAGGCTATCGTTGCTTGCATTTGAGGAGCCACCATATATAGCAGTATGAGAAATAATACTTATGAATAATGTAGTGTGCTAATGGTTTATTGTAGAAGACATCTCTTTACTTCCCTCATGTTTGATTAAGAGTTAAAGGATACAAAATTAGATAATAAAAGGTAAGGATCTTAAATTTAGGCTGTTGTTTTGGGGACAAAAAGTGACCTAACCAAATTTTCCACAAGTCAGAGATACTGTAATTAGTCAGAAATTGATTCACTGCCTACACTAATGACATTTAAATATCCATTAACATATTAGTTAAAACAAGTCAATAGGGATTTGTGTATTGCCCAATTCACACTTCTTCCTTATCTATTAAACAGAAGTAAAGGTTTATCTCTTGTTTCTTGTTCCTTCTAAAGTCTCATTCTCTTTCACTCTCAGTAACCCACTTTGTCTTAGAAGCATTATCGCGTTGCTTGGAATGAAATGATTAAAAAAAAAAAAAAAAAATCAAAACAAAAAGAAATAAAAAATTAAATGAATGTGTGAAGATCTACGTGTCACATCCCTTCAGGATATAGGCAATCATGACACTTCACAAATTCCTATCCCTTGTGACCCTTAACAGTTTTCTCCCTTTGCTACCCCCCCCACACACACACACATAAGTGTTAAGTTTTGCACACCTTCCTTCCTCATTGTGTGTCCAAGGAATTTCAGCTCCCTTTTCCTGATTCTGAGTATAAGTCTTCTTTCTGTTTCAATTTTCTTTAAGACTTCCTTGTTGCTTACTCACTTTTCACAGAATTTTCTGTAGAACCACATTTCTGCTGCCTCCAGTTTTCTCATCATGGGGAGACTGCCATATAAGACAATAAAATTCTTCCATTTTTCAGAACCTTAACTTTTGGAATGGTTCTTTCACTTGTCCATTGCATATTCAGATCTCAGTGTCGAATTTTCAATCCTCTGTTAAAACACTTCCCTGATAACTTCTGCATTAGTTTGATTTTATCTCCAATTCACATTTTGGGCTTTTTTTGTCTTGCTGATGACCATACTTTGTGTTTTCTTGCAGTTGATAGCTAATCCTTTTTTTTTTCTCCCTTTCTTTTACTATCCTGTCTAGGAGGTCTTGTAGTTTTCTTTCAGAAATGGCCATCAACAGTGTCATCAGTGTATCTTATATTGTTAAGATTATGCCTACTGATAATATATCCAGGTAGGGTCTCCAATTATCTTAAGACAGCGTCACTATAAAGGTTGAATAAATCTGGGGAGAAGACACATTCTTGTCTCATACTCCTTTTTATTTTTGTGTGACAAACTTTTGTTTTTTTCTGAAAAGTGATTAATTCCTCTAACAAGTCAATTCCCTTTATTCATATTGAGAAAAAAAAAAGTCCTCAAACTAAGGGCATCTAATACTAAACTCTTTATTTTTTGGTTTTATCTTTTTTTTTTTTTTTTTTTTTAAAAAGAGCTGGAGATAGAAAAAATATAGATATTAGAGATATGGTAATTTTTACTTTCATACCAAAAAAAAAAAAAAAAAAAAAAAAAAAAAAAAAAAGCCAAAGAGAGTTATTCCCTTGACACCACTATTACTGTATATACTTGGCAATGTTTATTTACAAGATTATAAAATATGCAAACCAATTACTATGCAATATTTATTATTTACCTTTTATAAAAGAAATAAATTTGAAAAATAATCTTTATCCAAAAATTCATTAAAAAAAAAAAAAAATTACAAAATTATCAAAAAATAGAAATGGAAGAGATGTGTTCAATTTATTTTAATAAATTTATTAAAGAGAAAATGAAGAAAATACCCAGAAAACAGATTTTTTCAAAATTTATGATTAGT